CGCGTTCCCTTTCAGAGCAGCTCTTATCTTCTCCTGTTTTCCAGGAGGCTGTCTCTGGGTTGCACAGGCATTCTGGCTTAGGTATATTCACAAAGCTTTCAGTGCCTTCCATATAAGAAGATGGGCAGCTAAGCTACGTGGTGAATCCTCGGATGAGAATTGCACGAAGGATACAGGGGATGACTTAAAACTCCTCTCTAAAACAAGAGCATAGAGAAAGCTTCATTGCCTTGGCCTTGCTCTCCAGGGAGCTCCGAGAAGTCACCACAAAGGCCCCGCCCACAGTCCACCACTGAGGATGAGAAAGTTGGAGCACTGGAAGAGGTCATCATGGAACGAGCCCATAATGCTTTAACGACTCTGGTAAATACTTGTTTTTGCATACTAAAACACATAAAATTCATAAGCACTTTTAGGCTATGTGGTGAGAAATTTAAATGCAAATAGTTAGATGCATGTGTGCACAGTGAGAGTGTAGGCAGAAAGCATCTGGAGTACTGCTCGAGTCCTTCCAGACCGCCCTGCTTCCAGGAGAGGCAGTGTGGCTTCCCAACCTCATGCCCCAGGATACTTAGCCTCTGCAACCAAGAGCTCATCCTTCCCAAGGAGGGCGGGACTCCCAGTCAAATGCCTACTGCTCTGGCCCGCTTTCCTCTGCTTTTCAAGAACCAGTTATGCGGTAGTGTGGGGTGGCACACACTACAGCCTCAGCACTCTGGGAGGGTGAAGCAAGAGGATCACAAGTTTGAGCCCAGCTTGGGCCACTTAATGACTCAGCAAGAACCTGTCTCTTCATAAAACGTATGGCTGAGATGTGGCTCATTGTGAATGTCCTTAGTCCAGTCCCCATCCCACATAAACGAATGAACTAAACATTCCCTCTGTATTTGGCCTCCTGCCCACAGGAGATCATCCACCTGATCACTTTCTGGACCCTGTCCCAGGGTGCTGGGGTCACTAGAGTATTTGGATCACTGAACCTCCTGCACTTGGGTCAAGTCTGTCTTTCTCCCCCAAGCCCTGAAACTCATGTGTGAAAGCATATCCTTTCTTTGCAAGAGATCTCCATTCAAACAAGCTGTAGAAAATTCATATTGGTTTTTCTTTTAAGAATCTCATCAGCTGGCCAACTAGCATACAAGTGTGGATGGAGAGCATAGTAGAGCAGTCATTTCCCAAGGTGGCCCTCCCTGGGCATGGGTTTCAGAAATGCTATCAGTTGGGCACTTATCCTTTTCCCATGGACTGCTTCAGCCTTCCTGACCCACTGAGGGTCCTGTGTGTGCTGCTCGCATCCCTCTAGCAGCTCTGTCCAGATTAGACCCACCCTCTTCCTCCCCATGCATTGCCAATCTGCATGAGTCCAAGTGAGAATTTGCAAATGAAACAAGAGTTCCTCTACTTTATCTCCAAAGACAAAAATTAATAAATCATGTTTAGTGCATATGAGGGAGTTAAATACATTGGTGAATACAAGAAGATCTCGACAAGAATTGAGAAGCCACCTACTGGCTGCCAGAGCATCCTGGTGCCCTATCATAGGAAGTGAGAAACAGGGCCAGAAGCTGCTGGGGTGGTGAGTGGGGCAGGTCCATGGCTGGGCAGAGGTGCCGCATTCCCGTGCTGAGCTGTCTGGCTGTGTGGCCAGAAGGACCTGAGGACGCTTTCAAGTCTGAGCTTAGAGCTGCACAATCTTATTTCTACTTCATTCTACAGAGGACAGCAAACCACAGGACAAGTCCCAAGCTGGGGATGAGAAAGAATGTCCTCCCCTCTATGAGGCCATGGACACCAGTGGGGTCAGTAATTCTGTCTTAGTGTGTGAGGAGCCCTGGCTTAAACTTTGTTCAACCTGGCTAGACCTTGTAGAGGTCACCAGGAAAGGCAGCAGAGTGCAGCAGGTGCCTTGTGCTGTAGAGGCAGTCACTCTTCTCTAGCAGGTCAGGAGCCCTCAGAGGCAAAGCCCTCCTTCCTTCCTCTCCACAGTCCACTCTCTGTCCCCCAGTGCTAGCAGCAAGCCCTGCCCGTGAGTATGACTCAGGAATCTGAAAGACTGTATGCATTCAGACTGCTCCCTCATCCTCCCATGTGACTGGGCATGAAGCATACACTCATTGACCTGGGGGCAGGAGAGGGCCTGGTATCTCTCCTCCTGTAGTCCCTCTCCCTTTCCTTCTCCCCTTGCCCCTCCCTTTTCCCCTCTCCCTGGATTCTGAATTTGAGTCCAGATTAGGCAATTTAGTGAGACCCTGTCTCAAAATGGTCTGGGGATATGGCTCAGTGCAAAGGCCTGGGGTTCAATGCCCAAAACTGCCCAAAATAAAATACAGCGCAAGTCCATCAGGGGTCCACATGGCTTAAGGACAATTTGAAGACAGAAATTCACCATCAAACCTACCACTGGCCAGGCCTGGTGACACACCTGGAATCTTAGCACTGGAGAGGCTAAGGGAGGCCTCCATTACAAGTAAGGACTACATTGAACTGCGCCCACTCACTGCAGCCAGGCCAGGTCCTCAGCGTCTTCCAGACCTTCTCCTAGGCTCCTGTCCTCTGCCTCCACCCCAGGGAGGGTTGTTGCTTCCAGGCCAGGCCTAAGGTTCCTTCCAGTTTCCTTCCCCTTGTCGCCTCTGTCTCACCCTGGTGCTCCCACTGCACCCCCAGGGGACCTACAGGAGTTCCTCTACCACTACAAGCGGGTCTTCAGGTTGAGTCCAGGCAGCAGCAAGTCGGTTCCCTGCCCAGGGTCCCTGTGGAGCCCTGAACCCAGCGCCCAATGCTTCGCTGCTGGAGCCCTTCTCTAGTGAGGTTTCATCCGGTGGGGTCAGGGAGATCAAAGAGGGATCCAATGACCCCCACCCCACTCGCCCTCTGTCCCTCACTGTCTTCCCACCCCACCCTCAAGGTCCTGCACTAGTCCATACGCTGCCCTCCACAATTGGGCCATCCGAGGACGCTGCTTCTGAACTGCTCCTGCTTGACCCCCTCCCTGCCCACTGGATCCTGGAGAACACCGAACTTGGAATCAAGGTCCTCTGGCCCTGGGATGTTCTGGGACTGCGGAGGGCTGAAGTCACAGAGGATGACATGGGTCCCTTTCCAATAAGGGCTAAGCTCCAAAGGCTCAAAGCCAGAGGGCACCACAACCCACCCAGGAGGCCCACAGCCTGCACTACGGAAAGGGGCTACACCTTAAGCCAGGCGCGGGTGTGACCCGGTATACCGGTGTGACCCACGGCCTGCGTGGCGCGGGGCTTGCGTGGATCTGCGGAGCATCACGAAGGCAGCCAGTGGCCGGCGTCCATGGCCCTCCTTTGCCTCCGCCCCCACCTTTCCGACGCGCGGCGCTGGACCCCAGTAATCGCGGCCTCTGCCCTTTCATATCAGCTTCAGCCCCGCCTTTTGGCTGCCACCCCAATCGAGGGCATGCGAGGCGGCGTCCTTGCCGTGCAGCGCCGCCTGGTGGGCGCGGGGAACCGGATAGTGCCACCCAAGGTGCCGCCCAGGCCCGCGAGTGTCCCCGCCCCAGAATCCGCGCTCACCCAGGTCCCCGACGCGCAGGCCCGGGCCTCGTCCTTGTGCTGGCCCTTGCTGGGCTCCAGAACCGGCTCCAACCCGGGTGTGGTCCTTTCCTGGCCCGGATCCCCGGCTCCGACGCCGCGCGGGCTTCTCTGTCCAGCCGCGGTCCCTCAGAACCTGCGCGCTCTGCCTGTGTCTTTTCCTCTTGGGAGGCCCGTGCTGGCCCGTCCCCCCACCCTCCCAGAAGGCTCTGTCCCCTTTTGCCTTCTTTGACTCCGTCGCCACCTCCCCAGGGCACTCAGCCTTTCCTGGGTCCAGGTTCCAAACACCCTGCCCTGTCTCCCCTACCCTAGACTTGTGGTGGCAGCTCAGCTCCGACCTGCGGCCTCCCATACCCTTGGAGATGGGCTCCCTGTGGCCATCCGTGGTCCCTTTGTCCACGTCGTGTTGGATTCCGTGGCCAGTGTAGCTGCTGGGCATTTGGCGCCCGCCTGCAGTCCCAGGAGATGGACTCCTGCTAGGCAGAGGTGGGCCTCATGAGTGGCCACCAGTCCAGGGCTCTTTGATCTCTCTAATCCGCCCCCCCATTACCCACCCAGAGAACACACGCTGTGATGCCCTGTGCTTTTCCCTTCTTGAGAGCTGAGTGCCTTGGGCTGGGCTGCCTGTCGCTCTGCTCTGCTGCTGTCTGGGTTGGTGGGGGTTGGGGACTGCGGGCTCAGCTGACACTGGGTTACCCCCTTAGGCAGGAACATCTATAATACAGGAGGTGGCAGGTCCTGACCTCCTTGGCCAACAATGGAGCCCGAGCAACCCAGGAAAAAAGAGAAGCTGCAACTGTGGAGAAAGGCCATGGACAGGGTGACCATGCTGGGGCCAGCCAGGCCACCTGGCACCCGGCAGGACTGGGGAGCCTCACCCTGAGTGAGGGTTGGTTTAATGAACTTGTTTGGGTCCCCTCTGCCCTCTGGGGCTCCCTGAGTTTTGTGGGCCTTTTCTTTTCCATTGTGAAGCATAGTTTACCTGAGGAGCACACTTATAGATGTAGGTCTTGACTTGGGGTCAAGCAGACACTTACATATGCTTTTGAAGTCATGGAATATAAACAGACCCTTAACTCTTCGTTTTAAAAACATGGGTTTTTTTGGTTTGTTTTTGATGCCAGCCTAGAGCTCAGGGCCTGGTAGGCGCTGGTCGCGCACCATACCACATAACTATACCTCCAGCCCCATTGTTTGCTCTGGCAGAGTTTTTACAGGAACACAGTTCAACACCCACTCCTGACACTCGGCTCTTCAGTTCCCCTCTGAAGTGACCTGTTTTTGTAGTTCTTTCCAAAGCGATTCGTCCAGAGAAAAGTGAATCATTTATTTTTCCCTTTAGTGTAAGGGGAAGCTTGGTCTTCAGTGCCTTCTTGACTTAACAGCTTAACTTGGAAATTGTATAATTCATTGAGAGAACTTCTTTTCCTCCCCACCCCTTTCTCCTGTTCTTATTTCCCCTTTAATTGCACAGTATTGGAAAAACTACAAGCATTGGAATACAGTTTCATCTGTTTCCAAGTGAAATCAGTTCTGAAAAGTAAACTTGTTGGACCATTGTTGGGAGCCATAAAACTGGAAATTGATCCTGTGTGGGAGGGCAGGATGAGGCCTCACTGCCTAAAGCAGTCAAGCTATCTTAGTCTTGAGAAAACTACCTGCCTGGACCTTGTGGGCTATTGGTTGCTAGGCAACCTTGTGGCTTGCAACTTTGTAAAAATATAAAAGCTCTTACTATTGTTCAAGGGGTCTCACTAATCAGGCAGATGAGCCACCACCTGACCCAGCTCTTGTCTTCTCTATCTTTTCCTCATTCATGTCGCCATTTAGTCCCGGGTACAATGGACCACGCTGTGAGGCCAACAGATCCCTATAGACCATAGTGTATATGCATTTGCAATTTTGACATTTCCAAAATTTACTTCATGGAGGTTGTACTAATTTGTGCTCCTACCAGTAAGGTAAGAGAGCATTCGCTCCTGCATGGTATTAA